GATGATGCTCGGTATCATCAGTCACTAAGGAAATGCAAATCAAAGCCACAATGAGATACTATTTGACATCTATTAGTATGACTTTTTTTAAAAAATGAAAACAACAAATATTGGCAAGGATATCGAGAAATTGGTATGTTGCCAGTGGCAATGTAAAACAGTACAGGCACTGTAGAAAAGTTCAGGAGTTCTTCAAAAAGCTAAACATAAAATTATATGACCCAGCCATTCCACTCCTAGGTATATTCCCAAAAGATCTGAAGATAATGACTGAGATACTTGCATGTGATTGTTCATAAAAGTCACAAGTATCCATCAATAGATGAAACTGATATGTTTGAAATAGTGTTTAAGTCATGCATTGCTTAAGGATGTTTCAGTCACTCACAGACACATATACAATAGTGGTTCCAACAGTTCACACCATGCATGTATAGTAGGCTATACCGTCTAGATTTGTGTAATCACACTCTATGACATTCGCACAATAATCACATTGCCTAAGGAAGCATGTCTCAGAACATAACCCCATTGTTCAGCAATCATGAGCGCACATACAAGGGAAAAGTAGTCAGTAAAAGGAATGAAGTCTGGATGATGTTATAAGATGGGTGAACCTTGAAACTATTATGCTTAGTGAAATAAGTCATACACAAAGGGACAAATATTCTATAATGCTGTTATATAAAGGTCTGAAATAGGCAAATTCAAATGAAAGTAGATTATAGATCACTGGGGCAGGAGTAATGTGAAGTTTTTGCTTAATGGATTTATTCTGTTTAGAGTCATGAAAGTGTTTTAGAAATAGATATTAGTAACGGTAGCACAACACTTGGATAAAATTAATGCCACTGAACTGAACATCTAAAAATGGTTGAAATGGCAATTTTTTTTTAATTTTATGCTATACAGAAACACATGCACACATGCACAACCACATTAAAAAATAAAAGAATGCTCATGAGTTGGCAATTGCTAAAACTAGCTAGTAGTTTTACATTGGTCTGTCATAAAAATTTAAGAAACAAAAAATTACAAGTTCTGTAGTTTTACTGGTAGAGAAATACCCTTACATTTCTAGGCAACTAAGAGGTTTTATCACAAACAGGTGATAAATTTTATCAAGTGTGTTTTGTATATCTAATAAGAGGATTATAGGGACTCCCTGGTGGCGCAAGGGGTTAAGATGCAACCTATGAAGCTATCAGCAGCCTCTGCAGCAGGAGTTCCATCCCCGGCCAGCCAGGGAAGAACCCACATGGCGCAGCAGACCTCTCCTGTCTCGCCCGCTGCTCCCCTCAGCAGTGTATTTCAGTCAGTCTGCCTGCTCTGCTCCCCACTCTGTCTCTGGTGAATCCTCTCACCCCCCACACCTCTGGCCTGTACCCCAGCTCTTATATAAATAAATAAATATATATATATATAGTTTTCCCTTTAACTTTTTTAAATTTTATTTTATATAATTTTACATCATCTATCATTTTTGCACAATGTATGCATTTTCATCTTGGTTATAGTCCCCATACAATTCCCACCCCCCTTATTTTGACCCTAATCCCTCCTCATTCCACCCCTCCTTCCCTTTAACTTTTAATGTGGGAAATTTATGTGCAGACTTTCTTATTGTGAAACCATCCTTGCATTGTTGGGATAAGCTTAGTTTGGTAAGAAGATCATTTTTACATCATGCTCAATTTGATTTGTTGGTCTTCCATGTTCTCCTTTAATTCTCTGTGCAACTATCATAAGACCCACCAAACATCCTGAGGGTAAGGACACCCTCTTCATTCATTATTCCATCCGGAGCTAGGGCAGGGTCTAGGACACAGCAAGCACTGAATACAAGTATGGTTGATAAGCAAGGGAATAAATAACTAGAAATATGAACAGGTTGGCAGAGGAATACTTTTATCCTGAAAATGACACTCCCCCTGGCAGGTGTGCAGCCCAGTTTGTTTTTAAGGCAGAGAGACCTTCACAGGGCTCAACAACCACTCCATAGAGGTGTCTATAGGCAACTCAGCATGTCTGCAGCTCCTTAAGCTGAACCCTACTCCTAGACTTTCATTTCCCCAATTCCTCTCATTATGTGAACAACATTCCAAAATTCAGTGGCTGCCTTCCCCCAACAGGATGCAGTCCTCATATCAAAGCGCTCCCCAAAGATTAGATCCTGTGCTGGGGTTGAGAGGAAATATGGCATTAGTCTCCAACTTAAAATGTTCCTCCCAACCTGTTTATTCCCAACAATCAAAATGGCCTCATCCCAACTCTGATTAGCACAAGAGCCTATACCATTAACAATTCACTGCATCAGCAGTATAGAGGACAGCAATCAGCAAGGGAATTATTTCGGCAGCTGTAAATCATGTGTTCTCTCATCCCCTCCTCCTCCAAGTCTGTGTTGAACTGTGCCCCATGCCTCCACACTGAACTTGAGTTTGTCAAGTTTCCATGTCAACTGCAGTAACCAAACAAGTTCAAGCAGCATTATTAAAAAGCACTAATTAGGGCCTCCCTGGTGGCGCAGCTGGCTGAGCATAGCACTGTGAAGCTGTCCACAGTGTTTACAGTGCGGGTTCGATTCCTGGCTGGCCAGGGAAATTCCCACGTGGCACAGCAGACCTCTCCTCTCTTGCCCGCTAGTCCCCTCAGCAGTGCTTTCAGTCTGTCTGCTTGTGTGACTCCCCACTCTGTCTCTGGTGAATTCTCTCACCCTCCCACGCCTCTGGCCTGTATCCCAGCTATTGTATAAATAAAAAATAAATCTTTAAAAAAAAAAGGCACTAAAGATTAACTGATATTTAAATAACTGTTTAATGTCAACAAAATCACACTTTAACTTTAAACGTTCCCTAGTCTATTAATTGCTTAATTAAATTCCTTAACATCCTTGGACACTGGCACACAGCATCCTGCCCCGGGGAGCCGTGCCCTGGCCTTGGCAGGCCATGGAAAGGGAGGAGCCCATATCCCTGGGGGAGGTGCCAGGAGCTCTCTGGTTTTCGTCAACAATGTCCTAATGAGGTGGTTTCTCTTCACAACTCTGCTGACCTCCACAGGACAGCAAGAACATGACAAACATTCTGAGCATGGAAAACTGCCAAGCAGGCTACAATTTATTTTTAAGTGTTTTAAACACACACACACACACACACACACACACACCCAAAAGAGATACTTTTCCCATCTGGTATCTGTCCTTCTTATGAGTTGGTATACCAGTAGACATTCAAGCCTATGTACAAAAGGGATACAACAGGATTTGTGACAGCAGGTAGGGTCAGAGGACTCTGGAAGATGCCACCAACCAAATCCCAGCCTGCCAGAGTCATCAGCCTGCAACTGACAGGGGCATACAGCTCAGCCAACAGTAGCATCCCAGACTGGAGCTTGCAGAGGGACTTTGGGTTCCAGTGAGTGAACTTGTGATGGGGATGCCAGAAGGACCCCAGGAAGTCTCTCCTGCCACAGCAGGCTCCATAGGGACAGCTTGCCAGCTAGTCGCTTCACAATTCAGTTTTGTTGGAAGGGGATTACACATCAGCTACCTGCCCAGGTAAATAGATCCAAGAAACAGTCTCACAGTCAGCTTCCAGGAAGAGCAAACTCAGCCAAGGATCAATAAGCATTTGAAGCCTACACTTTGGACAGCAGATGCTCTGAACCCAATGCCACTGGGCCATAAGCAACATGTTATTATGGAGCATCAGGGGCATGAGGGATGCCAAGTGGCCCTCCCTTGCCTCAGCCTCACTACAGGAAACCCATTCTTTCTAGTTTTCTTACAAAACTACCACTCACTTCTTGGTTGGCCTTACTCTTTGTCTCTGTCACATGCAGTACCTTCCATATACTTTCTTCTGTTTTGCCTAAAGGGCCTGCCCTTCCACAAAGTCAGGAAGGCACATCTTTCCAATTATTCCATTCTACCTTTCACTGCTCAGGGATACATCTTGTAGCAGCTTTCCACAGCCACTGCAACCCCTAGTAATGCCAACAGAAAACACTGTAGAAGAAGCTTGGTTAATGTTACAGACTCCCATTCAGAAAGCCAAACATTCCCATAAACAACTAGGTATAAGCCCTGGTTTCAGAGAAGCCAGATGTTTGGGCTGTAGTTCACAGAAACGTGGAGAGCATCCAGAAAAACAGAACAGCACTACACCCACGCAGCCTAGACGTGCTGCTCACTTACTATCTGTGGTATCACACCCACACCAAAGCCACTTCAACCCCAGATGAGCATTTAACAGTCATGTCAATCCAGAAAAATTTGTTCTTAAAGACCTTGTTCACTCCTCCATATAAGAGCTACCAAAGAAAGCAAAAGTTTGTGTATTATGAAAGGATGAAGGAACCCTGTGTGCTAGGGAACATAGTATCCTGTTGCCACAACCTCCAGCTGACAAATTATTCATATTTATTAAGACCTGTTGCACTGCAGACATATACCAGGTGATGGAGATACAAAGACTAATAATAAAGGGGTCCTGTTCTCCGGGAACTTCGAGACAGACGATGGAAATGGATAAGTAAATCAGAAGTTATAGTAAATACTGTATGTTTAAAGAGTTCAAAGAGCCCTGACAGAGATGGCTCTGAGCCAGAAGAAAGTAGATATTTCCATCAGGAGATGAAGGTCAGGGAAGACTTCCTGGAAGAGGTAAGCTTTAAAGACTGGGGAATAAATTAAAAAAAAAAAGGAATCAGCCAAACAGATGACAAGAAAGGCACCCCAAGCGAATGTAAGCAAGCTTTTTGAAGGCATACAGGTATGAAACTAGGAACATGCATTTATTTCAACAAGGCTGGAGCAAAGAACTTATGGGAATAGCATCATGATATACAAGAATCCTCCTGCCAGACAGGTCAGATGGGTTTCAAACACATAACTCACTGCTGTCTTATCTCTAACCTCTGGAACCCTCTCCTTTTCAGAGCTGCCCATAATAAAAAAGAGGATCACTGTTGTTTGTAAACTCTACTTTTGAACTCACTTTTTTGCTCTGTAGTTCAGTGGTTTGTTAGTACTTGCAAATTCTCAACATCTACTACCTGAAAGAAACAGGTAAACAGAATCTTGAATTGGTCTTTGGTAAAAAACACCTTGTTCACTCTTCCATGTGAGAGCAACCAAAAAAACCAAAAATTTGTGCACTATGAAAAGATGACACCACAGTAGTCTAAAGCCCCAGTGGATAACATGAATAGGAAAGCAGCCTGCAATTCTAGGCAGTCTTAGTGCCACCTCTCCCTAAAGGATATGTCTGCTCTGCTCTCTTATGTTTCACATTCAACAAATACAAAGCTAAGCTCATGCTTTTCCCCACACACTCCTGATGTTCCTCCACAGTTTTAGCTCTACTGCACAAGCCAAAAAACCCAGGAGCTCCCCTCATCACTTCCCTCTACTTTTCCCCCGTTCCCCTCAATCCCTCCCCATCCATCATGACTTAATTTTATCTAGTAGCCATCTACCTTCCTGCTCACCTGCCCAAATTGTGAGTGTGTGTGCACACACACACACAGTCTTTCTTTCTCTCTTTCTCTGCCTCGGTCTCTCTCTCTCTCTCTCTCTCTCTCTCTCTCTCTCTCTCTCTCCACCCATTAAATCATAATAACAAGCAGATATGTGGACTGGGAGGAAGGTTTGGTGCCTTGCATGAGTTCTCCAGAGATGCCAGTGCACTGAGGGCCTACAACCCAAAGAAACACTTACAATTATGGGAATCAACTCCCAGGCAGGGCAAACTTGGTGCCCCAAAGCCCCACTTCTCACAGCACAGAGACAGTGAGCTGAGGAATCTTCATCTCCATTCACTCTGCCAACTTATCTCACCATTGGGGAGATTTCCTTCCACCAAAGCAGATGAAAGGCAGCAATTTTCAGGAGGAGTATGTTGGTGCTGAAACTTTTATTTGGTTTCTCAAATTAAAGGACAAAGAGATACTGAAAAAGAAAAATTTGGCCATGCCTCCCAGCTTCAACTCAATGGAAACTTCCTTTCGCCCCATTTCCTGCCACTGGCCCTCACACCAGCCCATAAGGAGTAAAGGCATGTGGAATGAATGAACAAACAGATGAAGAAGCGAACAAATAGCAAGTTTGAGGAGCTGGAAGAGAGGGCAACCAGAAAGAAAAAAGGCCAGGCTCAAAACCACCCTTTTATCCCTTCAAACATCTCCAAGCACCTCCTACATACGATGTACCTTGTTTTGAGAAAACACAGGCACGCGCCAACTATGAAAGAGAAGAATGGTGAGCGAAAGACATTCTCCTTCATCTCCCTGGAACGGTGTATTTCCAAACACTACTTTAAAAGCAGCTCCTGTTGTCCTGACGGTAAAGCCATGCCTAAAGACACACATGCAAATAGAAACTCCACTTTTTATTGTATCCAGTACTTTGGAACCTTGGGGTTTCTTTTCTAAGGAAAACCTGTCATTCATCTCCTTGATTAAAAAATTGATTTAATTTGGCTTTCACTAGGTAGGTACAAGGGGAAAACACACAGATTTCACAGAGATAACTCGCCCAGCAACAGGACTGTGATGAGCTCTGGCACAGTTGGGGCCCAACCCACCACCAGTGAAAGAAAATTGAAAAGCTCACAATGTGGAGCTTAAGCTCCAGCCAAAAGGAATTATCTTCCCACAAGCGTCTCTGTCGGATTTTTGGATAATGCAAAAAAAAAAAAAAAACTTTCAAAAGGAAAGGAAAGGAAACCCCAAGGATATTTAACATATAACTTAGAATTTCTATATTTTTCAAATTCCCTTACAGGGAGAAAAGGCAAAGAGGTCTTTATTTCTCAATCCTACTTTTCAAAACTTTTCCCATTGATTTGACAATGTCATAAAATTTTTCAATTTGCAGAGAGCACAGAGCAGAGGAAGATGCAGTGGCTGAAGAATTTTAAGCTGCTATAAAGGGGCTCTGAGATGAGAGTGGGAAGAGCAGCAGAAGGGGTGGGAGCTACAGTCCTGAACACACGCTCAGCAACCAGCCTTGGGCTTTGGGTTTGAGATAAAACACCAGGGACTTGGGCGCGCACAGACCACACTCCCCATACACTGTGTTCTCCTGCATCTGACAGCCACTGAGGGCAAATGGGTAGACTTCACTGCAGTGTCAGAGGTTCTTGGGGCAAAAGATCAGCAAAGCACAAGCACACATCCTGATTAAGTGTTACAGTGACTATCCTATAGCTAGAACTGAATTTGATCCTACCCTCCCCTGCTTAAAACCATTCTGCAGTTTTCCAGGGGCCTCAGGATAAAGACCAAATTTTATAACCAGACCTTCCACCACCTCCCATCCATTCTAAATCAATGTCTCCAGCTTTATCTCTTTCCTCTCCTTGTCCACAGTAGGCATTATAGAACCAGTTTTCCAATGCCCTAAGATAACTTGTCTCCCAGCTCTGGGTCTTTGTCCATGATTGTTTTGAACTCTGTTTTCCCTCCCTCCTCTTATCTGGCAAATTCCAAGGTTTCCTAAAGGTTTCCTACTCATCCTAAAAGATACTTCCTCAAGGAAGCCTTTGTTAACCCCATCACTAGGCCAGATGAGGTGCTGCCACAGTACCTACACTTACCTGATTGTAGCATTTATTATAATGCCCTATATAGTGCTTCTTTTCCACTGCCAGACATATTCCCATCAACAAACATCATAAAAATAAAATGACAATTGGAGAATATGAAAAAGACACCACCACTAAGCATCAGGTGGTCAGGGACCATGTCCATTCAGCCCAGCTAGTTCAACATTTGACACAGAAAAAATGTTTAGTAGATTTTTCATTTAGATGATTTAGACTCTGTGTCCTGTCACTTAGCAGTTCTATTCTGATTCATCTCTCAACCCAGTCATGTACTGATACCCACTCCCTTCCCGCACTGTCTCATCCCAACCCCTCAAGTTTCATTTCTTAATGGATGATTTTCCCTGGGCCTTAACCTCAAGCATGTTCACTAGACATCCGTGCAACACCTGCTATGTGACAAACACCATCTTAAGTAACCAAGATACAAAGATGACCAAATTTCTTACCTTCTAAGAGAAGAAAACGCATATAAACAAGTACTTGTCATATGGTATAACCAGTGTCATAATGGAAAGATATATGGGGTATGGGTGGTTCAGAGAAGAATTAAGCCATTCTTCCCAGGCTAACTGGGAAGCTAACTTTATGCCCAGCTAACTTCTCTTTGTCCTGCATCATTCTCACAGACAGAAATCATCCCAGGGCACTTTCCCTGGGTGTGAAGACCATATCAGACCTTTCTAAGTTGGGTTCCCATTCTGTTCCAATTAATTCAAATTCTTTCTGGCTTTTGCATGCACACTTTCTTCAGTTCTTTTACCAGGCATCTTACTAACATACATCCCTGCTTCTGCCCTGTCCTAAGCCAACTTACCTAAACTGTTTTTCCAGCTTCTCCCTCAGCTGTCATGGGTGATCATTTGACATATATGAGACATCTGCACTTACACAGAACATTCATAAGAGTCCCTGTCTTTAAAAAAAAAAAAAAAAGGAACATTGTAAGATATGTGGAATAAATCCCAACTAAATATTTAAAAAAAAAAAAAATAGAGTCCTGTCTACAATGAAAAAAGGACTTATGAAGCCAAAACATCATAAAAAATTTAAATGCAAAACAAACCATTCTCAACATAGCCTTCCTCCTCCACTGCTTCCTCTTCCAGATCCAAATGCTAAAGTAAGCATCACGGCCTTCAACAGGACGTTCCTGATTCTGTTGTATGTAAAGGGAGATTTCAGCACCCTTTATCCACTAGACCCCTGACACCAACCCCCTGGTCTGGTCCTTCAGTTCTTAATAGTCAAGTCACTCTGTCCAGCTCCATATCCCCTTCATCAGCAAGTACTGATCAACTCTGTGAGGCAAGAACCAAGTTTTCCAGTGTCACAAACAATGTCTTGTATGTAACACATGTTCAATTATTGTCTATGACTGAATCTCCGATAAGAAAATGGGGTGAGCCTCTTCTGACCCTTGTCCAGGAATATCCAGTATTAAAAAAAAAAAAATACTCCGCAATGCAGCGGGGGTCAAAAGCTTCTTATTCATCTAAGCAGAGACCAGGGGAGATGCTGACCCCAGGTAGGACGCTGCTGACATAGTCCTCCCATCAGTGTGCCAAGGGAGGCAGAGAAACCAGTTTTGTAAAACACCCTTTTAATCAAGTGACTTGTCTCCAGGTTAGTGTAGATTTAGGGGAATATTTTCTCAAGAAACCAGTTATAAATGGAGGGGAAGAAAAGAACTGAAATTAATGCACATAGTAATTATCTCCCAAAGTTGCAAATCAGAACAATTCCTCACTTGAAGACAAGTATGAAAAACAAGATTAAAATGCTTCAGGGATGTGTTCATGAAACAGCAGGTAATAAAACAGATAAAATGTATTTACAGTATCTCGCTGGGGACACAGTACCTTTTGGCTAATAGCTATCAGATACTAAATACCACTGTAAAAATAATACTCTTTCATGCTTCATTATAGAGTTACAATTATCTATGGAAAAGCAGCAACACAGCATACTGTCTCAAAGGGTAATTGGGCATAATTCCAGAGTCCAAGTGTCTCCCTAAGTATCTGGACACAGCGAGTATAAGCCAAGTCATAGTCCCTGTGTTAGTCAGCTAGGATTGCCCTAACAAAACACCACAGACTGGTGGCTTCAACAACAGACATTTATTTTCTCATAGTTCTGGAGGCAAGAAGTCCAAGATCAAAGTTCTGGCTGATGTGGTTTCTAGTTAGAATACTCTCCCTGGCTTATGCACAGCAGACTTCTTTCTATGTCCTCACATGGCCTTTCTTCAGTTCATGGGTGCAGAAAAAAATAAAAGAGAGAAAGAGCTCTTCAGTGTTTCTTTTTATAAGGATACTAATCCTAATCAAATCAGGGCCTCCACCCTTATATGACCTCATTTAACCTTAATTACTTCCAAATTACTTCCTTACTCCAAATACTGGCACACTAGGGGTTAGGGCTTCAACAAATGAATTTGGAAGACATTCAGTCCATTACACGCTGAAAGGGTGAGACGTGATCCCCAAACCAGTCCATGCACTAAGAAAGGAAAATGGAGGACCCGGTAAAAGGGGCTATACCTTGGGGGGCATACCAGCTGATCTCTTAAATCTATACACACACACAATATTTTCTATGTCCTCAACTACATATATGGCACGGTGCCAAGGTCTTGGCATGCAAGGTTTTATTTCTGCCTCATCTAATGATATTACCATTGTTATCTTATAGATGAGGAAACAAACATTCATTGGTGAAAATCACTTATCAAAGTCAAGCCAGTGGATTAGATAGAATAATAGCCCTCCAAAGACCAAATGCCTAGAACCTGTAAATGTTACCTAATGGGAAATTAAAGGTTTTTCAAGATGTGATGATTGGCTAAGAATCTTAAAATGATCATCCTGGATTATCTGCATAGGCCAAAAATATAATCACAATGATCTCATAAGAAAGAGTCAGAGGGAGTCTTGACACAGGCACATAAGGTGATACATCGTGAAAACTAAGAGTGGTGCAAACACAAGCCAAGACATTCCAGCAGCCACCATAAACTTAAAGAAGCAAGGAACAGATTCTGCCCTAAACCTCTGAGAGCATGTGGCCCTGCCAGGACCTTGGTTTCTGCCCAGTTAATGACTTCAGACACCTGGTCTCTAGAACTAAAAGAATGAAACTGTTGTTTTAAGCTACCAAGTTTGTATTAATTTGTTATAGCAGTCACACAGGTCTAATACACCCAGCTAGTAGTGGCAAAGTCAGGATTTTAACCTGGGTCATTGTGCACTCTTGAGTATTATGCCTTTCTCCTTTACTGTATATGACATTCACAAGTCAGACATGTGCAGGTGAAATAATGGCCAGGACTTGAAATAATGGCCACTGGCAACTCCACTGCAGCAGCATATCCAGAAAAGTCTCTTCTTTCCCCACAACACAGAAAGAGTTATCAAAGGCCAAACCAATATTTTAGTGTTCTAATTATCAGGTACAGAGAGAAACAGTCTAGAATCTAACATTTGGATGAGAAAGCTAACCAAACTGTTTAACAAAGGTTTTCATCTATTTGTTTGCACTTGACTATTTGAAACATAACGGAGGCTCCTAAAACCTCTGCTACTTTGCTTCATCCAGTTCATATTTCCTTTTCCAACATGAACACACATGGCAGAAGTTACTTCCCCCCCCACCCCCTGTTCACTACTTGAATTCCCAGGGACACAAAGAGAAGGAGTGAGCCACCTCACCCCTTTCTTGAATCTTCTAGGAAGAATGATGGTATGAGCAAGCAGGCACACAGGTGCCTAGAGTAAACCAATCTTAAAATTAACACACTGCAAGGGCAAAGGTACGGCATCCCAAAATGCATTTTCTGAACCTATTCTGACAACTGCATCTAAGTTTTAATTACTTATAACACTTCAAAATGCAGGTAGAGAAACAGCAGTAAGTTTTATGAAAATAATAATGTCTTGGTAATGGCAAACGTTGTGATTGCTTTGGTTACTAACTCTTTGCAGAGAAGCCAGCAATAAGCCTGGGGCTTGGGGGAGAACAATCAGCTTGGTGATTAGCAAAAGGGAAGCCTTGGGATTTACTAATGTAGTAAAACAAAAGGTAATTCATTGAAGTATCTAAGAGTTTTCCTACTTTTCTTTTTGCTAGATGATTTTTTCTCTCACACGGCACCAATGAAGCTTCAAAGCTCTTCTAGCAACTTCTTACCTTCGTTTACCTTCACTGTGATTTTCCATCAGTATCTCAAAATAACCCTTATAGTTAACATTTAGAGACTATTTACTCACCAGACACTGAGCTCATAACAACCCTGAGGAAGCTAAGACTCAGGAGGGTTATTTTCCCAAGGTCACATCACTAATCAGTGGCAGAGCTAGAATCAGAAAGCAGATCTGACTCCAAAGCCCAGTCTCTTAACTCCTATATCAAACTGCCTACCTCCCAAATTAATTGGGGGCCTTACTACTGTCACCTATAGACGACCTTAAGGAGACAAATACACATACCTTTGAAATGACCTCTGACTACTCAGAAAGACTGACCAAACGGCTCTTAGAACCACTTAGAAAATTTCTTTCATTCCGCATTTCTTAGAGAATGATCTGGGAAATACAGTCAGTTTCAAAGAGCCCTTGGAGAAATGCAAATGGTTGAGAAACTAAAGCAAGTTCACCCTTCCCCCAGATGAACCAAAACTCCTGGATTTAGCAGTACCTGAAGGCAGCCCACCTCTTCTCTCTCTGCCTGACTAAATCTCAGCAGGCTGTCACCATCAAGATCCTCATTCTACCACCAGGGGTAGAAAGGAGAGTCCTTAAGTCTTGGGGGGAGAGGGGTGTGAATGCAAAAACTGAAGGAATATAGAAGAAAACAAAACTGAATCTCCTATATCATTATATATCAGCAGGTCCTGATTTTTTAGGCTTCTTATTAAAATCTTCTGGCTCCAAATTAGTTTTCTTTGCTTAGTCCTAATTATTGCCTTAGCTCTCTTTAAATGGTCCCCTAAAGATGGTGAAAAAATGCAACTGAAAGGTCATCTTGTTCCATGGGAACTGCAGGGAGACACCTTGACACCTTGCTCTGAAATGCTATTCTGTAACTTCATGAGATAATATCCCAGAATTAATCATGATAAAGAGTTCTCTATTTCCCCAGGCAACAGGGTTCACAGGGACTAGGCAGGCAAGGAGAAAGAATAATGGCTCCAGAATAGCAAAAGCCCTCATCTAGCAAATGGAGTCTCCAGTTTTGCCCAAATCACCAGGCATGCCAAAGCTTCATGTCACTCAAGGTGACATTGTCCATTCTGGTGGGGGAGGGACCAACAAAATGCTGGGGCTGAGCTGCCAAGACAGGAAATGGAGAAAAAAATGTAAACCATAAATCAGGGCCAGAAGCCCTGCTGCTTCTCCTGCTAACAGCGGGCAAGGAAGGACTGAATCAACTTTCTAGAAAGGTAAGACCATGAAAGGGGATGTTAAAATAAATTGAGAGAGAGAAAGGGAAAAGATCAGAGGAGAGGAGAGTCTTACTGCACGAGGTTTGCAATTTGTCTGCTTTCAGAGCTGAAGCTGAGTATCAGGTTTTTTAAGGTTTATTTTAAGAGCTTTGAGATCTTATGGAGGGGGAAAAAAAACCTCACTTATCCTACCTGTTTCAAAGTCTCTTGAATTTTGCTGTAATGGAGGGCATTTGCATCAAACAGAATGAATTCCTCTTAAAGAAGTGTCCATTCTTTGGAAGATGAAATGTGCTCATGGGTATACATGTGTGTGTAAGAGAAGAGAGACTTGGACTGCTATAGAAACAGCTATTATTCTATCAGCTGCAGATGGAATAAGGTGAATGGGGGCAGGGGAGGGGTGGAGGCCCAATACTTCAAATCCCTGTGAATACAAATATTGGCAATTCATATTTAATAAGTTCTCA